CAAGGAGGGCGTAGTAAGGGCAAGGGCGCTAGGGAGGAGTAGGTATATTACGTGTAGGGCGCAATTCCTATAAATTATATCTAGTATTTTTATATTTATAGATACCTATAGGCCTAAGGCTATATTTAGGCTAGAGGCTATATAAGAAGATATACTTCTTTACTATATTTTCTATACATTACTTATAATCCTTTCTTGCTTTCCTTATATAAGGAGATTTACTAAGTTTATATTATTAAATTATATTATCTATATTCTTAAAGTCTAAGGGTAGAGTCTAGGTATCCTAGGATTTATTATAGCCTTTCTAGTAGAGTAGGTATTATAGTTAACCTTTTCTTTTCTGCTTCCCTAAGATCTTCTCTACCTCCTAAACTTCTTCTCCTTTAGGTGTTACGTCTAGTAGGAGGGTATTATCCTCTTCTCCTATCCTAGGATTCTAATATTCTAGTAGGGAAATATAGAATATGTTATAAATATAATAAGAGGGTAGAAGGAGTAGGTAGTATACCTACGTTCTAACTACGCCTTATATCTAAAATAGGCTAATAAACTTACTAGATAGCTTCCTGCTAGGTTATTTAGCTAAGTTAATATACTTAGTACTAAATAGTACTAGATCTCCTAGGTAGAAGGTTTCTTCCTTATATTTCTTATTATAGTATTAGCTCTAATATTTACGTGCTTTCTCTAGCTATTCTTTTATTATTACTCTTACGCTATATATATACTTTACTCTTTTAATTACGTCTAGTATCTCCCCCTCTAGCCTACTAACCTTATATAGCTTAGTAAGTAAGGGATACTTACTATATACTACCTAGAATAGGGTAACTTTTATTAACTTATATACTAAATTATTATAGGTAAACTACACTGTAGTAAGGAGTGTTACCTAGTCTTCTTAAGAACTTAATATAAATATTCTTAAGTATTATTCTAGGGTCTAGTTCTAGCGTTCTATTTACCTATCATATCTATAGATAGAAGGCAGTGCTTAGCCTGCGCTTTACCTATAGTTAGTAGTAGATTTCTATCTAGAATAAAGAGGTAAAAATTGCTCCTCTATCTAATATAATACCTTTCTAGATCCTAAACTTTAAAATAATATATATAAAGTAAGCCTTTATAAACTATTTTATATCCTATATTTTTAAAGTAGGTATATAGAGTACTATCTTTAAGAAGTAATATACTATTATAAGGATTGTATTAAACACGTAACTAGTAGAGTCCTTTACTAGTAGTAGGCTAGTAATAAAGTCTAGTGTAACTTCCTTAAAGATTTCTCTAGGGACTAGTAGTAGTAATAGCTTTCTATATTAGCTATACCTTAGAGCCTTACTCCTTTAGTAAATAGTATATATTCTTATATAATCCTAAATATCTTAATATAGAGTAGGCTAGTAGTATATCCTCTTAATTAGCTTAAGCGTCCTATATACGCTAAAGTAGCCTACTATATATAAGTTATAGTTCTAGAATAAAATCTCTTACCTAATAGCTAGTTCCTCTAGAATATATATCCTACTATTATATCTTAGGACTTCCTTCTTATCTAAGCGCTAAACGTGTGCTTTTCTATAGTTTTAAGTGCTATCCTTAGGTGTTAAGCTTGTAACCTATTGCTATACAAAGGCGTCCCCCTACTATAACTAGCGCAAGGTCTTAACAAGTAATTAGTACTCTATTATTATAGGTTTGCTACTAGCTAATACCCTAGCTAGTAAGCGTAGCACGCATAGCGTGCACACTATAGCGCTAGTAGTAGGGACCTTTCTAGTTCTATAAACTATAGCAACGTGCGTCTTACACGCGCCTAATAAGCTCTACTTATCTATAAATCTACTTACTCTACTAAGTCTATCCCTTATAAGTAGTTTACTCTATAGGGTAGGTAATAATTAGGTTAGTAATAGGTTCTTCTATATATAATCTGCCCTTCTTAAGGGGCTATCTATAGGGTTAGTTTTCCCTAATCTATACTCTACCTTAAAGTTAAAAGCTCCTAGATATATTACCTAATAAGCTTATTATAGGTTTAGCTTCTATACAGCGCGTATCCTATATAGGTTATTATAGTTACTTAGTACTTATATAGTGTGCTAGGTGCCTTTTAGGTAGTATTACTACTACTTAAATCTATAAATAATAGCTAGTAGCTCTAAGTTATAGACTTTATAATTTAGCTTAGCAGCTTGTAATTTCCTTAAGATAAAGGTAACTAGGTGCTATTTATTATCTTTAAAAAGTTATAAAAGGATACCTATAATAGTAAAGGTAGAAGTATCTATTTCTACTTAAATAGGGCGCTTAGCGTTAAAGTAGTGTAAGATAGGCGCGCTTAAAAAGCATCCTTTAAGCATCTTAAAAGACTTATCTATAGTAGGTGTCTAAGTAAAGCTATTATCCTTTTTAAGTAAATTAGTAAGGGGGGCAGTCTATATAGCATAGCCCGCAATAAAGCGTTAGTAGAAGTTAGCAAAACCTAGAAAAGATTGTAGTTCCTTAATATTTATTAGCTATAGCTATTAAGTAATACTCTCTACCTAAGTAGGATTAGCGCACATACCTCGCGTGCTAATAATAAAGCCTAGAAAGTAGACCTTATTAGATATAAAGGTATACTTTAGTAGGTTAATAAATAACTCTATGTTACATAGTAATTAAAGCACAGCGCGTATAGCACGCTAGTAGAGCGTAACTTTGTTACTACTAGTATAGATAAGGATATTATCTAGGTACACAATATATATATAATCTAGGTGTTTAATTAAGGCTCTATTAATATAGGCCTAGAAGCTAGTAGGGGTATTAGTTAGCCTAAATAGTATTACTAGATATTTAAAATAACTATAGCGTGTATAGAAAGCTATTTTCTATTTATCTCCTACCTTAATCTATATTCTATAGTAGGCGTTCTAGAGGTCTAGGGTTGTATAGTAGCGTGCGCCTAATAGGTAGTCTAGGGTCTCTTTAATTAGTAGGAGCAGGTAATAATCTTTAATAGTAATTGCGTTTAAACTATAGTAATCTACGCAAAGGTAAAGTGTTCTATCTTTCTTAGGAATAAATAGGATAGGGGCCCCTATAGGGCTAGTGCTATAGCAAATCTAGCTATTATATAGCGCTTATTCTAAGTACTCTCTAAGTAGCTTTAGCTTATATAAGGAGAGGTTGTAGAGCAGACTATATAGAGGCTCCTTTCCTTCTAGGAGAGGAATAGTATAGTCTAAGGACTTAAAATTTAGAGGGGTAGTAGCTGCCTCCTTACTAAAGATATTAGAGTAGTCCTTTAAAGTATTTAGTATGCATAGCTCTTACGCTATATATACTTAGTAGATATAGGCATTATATTCTAAGTCTATGCTAGTAGTCTAGATAACACTAAGAAGTAGTAGGTTAAGACCTAATTATTATATATCTTCTTCTAACTCTTTAGTAGTAATAAGCTAAATACTAGCTACTTTATATCCCTATCTCTAGGCTTAAGAGCTATAGTTAAGGTAAATATATCCTTACTAGAGAAATAGGTTACTAAGTAGTAGTAGAGAGCCCTCCTTATTAACGCTATACACAGTTATCTGCACACAGCGCTTAACGCCTGTGTTATTAGCTAAGCGTACCTAGAGCGCATATACTGCGTAAGTGCTCTATTATTATCTCTTAATCTAGCCTAACTAAGGAAGCTCTACTCCTTTAATAGGTAGTAGGCTTATTTTAATAGTAGTCTTTTAACTAATTAGGCTAATATCTACCTAAGGGTCTAAAATAACCTATAGTTGTCTCTCTAGGGTTATCTCCCTAGCTACGCTATATATACGCTTTATACCTAGTAAGATATATATTAGAATACGCCTTACTATCCCTAGGTTATTAGTAAGGCTTAAGCTTTTCCTATCTTATTAATACGTATAGGGATCTAATTTAGGTTACTACTTTTACACTTATTAGTATAGTAGCCTTTCTTTTAATATTTAAAATAGGTAATACTATTCTTATCTTAAGGTAGCTTATTTATAGGAGGAGGTAGCTTCTCCCCTAGCTTCTAGTCCCTATATCTAGTGTTTCCTTTAGGATATATATTATAATCACGCGTTAGGGAGGGTTAGCGCAGGTTTTACTTAAGTGTAGAGCCTAACGCTATTAAATCCTCTCTTATTACTAGTACTTAGTAGTAGTTAGTAATTACTTACTATATCTCTAGCCTTAGCTTTAAGAAAAGATACTAGACTCTCTATTATTTAGTGTAGGGAGTAAGTTAATCCTCTAGGACTTTAAGGTATATTATAAAGAAGTAAACTATTTAGTCCCTACGCTATATTACCTAAGCGTGTGTTATAGCTACTTTAAGTATATAATTAATAGGGTTAAAGAGTAAGTTAAGTATATACGCCTTAAAATATAACTAGGTTACTATTATAGTAGTTACTCTAAACGTGCACTTAAAGTGCGTATACTATAGTTCTTAGAGGTCTCCTACTAAGTACTATATAGCCTAAAGAACCTTATCCTTATTATAGTAGAAAGTCTATAGTAATAGTAGAAAGGCTCCCTTATAAGAGTAAAAGAATTTATAATATTCCTTAAGGTTTTTTCCCTTATATTCTAATAGATCCTTTAGTTTTAGTATACGCTTTAAAGGTAGGGGTGTTAGCGCCCTAGATACGCCCTACTTATACGTATTTTTAAGTATCTTAGGGATATCCTCTATTATACTCCCTATTAAGTCTAGGGTAGTGTCCCTTTCTAGGCTTTTAAGGTATAGGATCTTAGCTTCTAGTTTATATAGACGTTATAGTTTCTAGAGTTTATTACGTCTCCTTTAGGCGGCTTAGATGCGCTTATTAAGCGTTAAGTCTGCGTCTAGCGTAGGGGTTTACCGCTTATCGCTTAGGGGGGAACTACTTACTAGTTCTTCCCTTAGTTATAGCTTAATAGGGGGTGGTTATATTTTTGCTAGTAGTACCCCTTAGCTATTTACGTGTGTAGATAGAGCTATCTCTAGACTATTAAATAGGAAGTATTATTATATAAGGTTCTAGTTATAGGTAATAGTATTTGCTTTATACTAGATAGAATAGTATAGAGATAACTATTAGTATAGTATTAATATAAGAATAATACTTGTCTTCCCTAAGCCCTGCGCAAAGCGTAGGTTTTGCATAGCTTAGGCGCTAAGACACTAAACCTAGCTAGGGATGCACCTAATTAACTAGAACACTATAAGGTGTCTTCACGATAGGGTTGTTACAATCACTACCTCTATTACCACCTCTATTATCACCACCTCCTATTAGTAAAAATATTATGACTTATTATTATGTTATATGTGCATATAGCGTGAAGCTAATCTTCTCTACCCCTTTTAGTCTTAGTTAGGTATTATAGCGTATAATAGATATAAAACTACTTTTTATACTTAATTTAAACTACCTATAATAAAAGTAAACTACTACTTTAAACCTATTTACGGGTATACACAAGGTTAGTTTACACCTATATAGTAAACCCCTAGCGTACCATTCTACAGTAAACAATTTTTTACCGTAGTGTTACATAACGTCCTTCTATCAGGTTTAAAATCTGAGCACTTGGTCTCTTCCCTAGCTTTACGCCCTTAGGGTTCTTCAACAATCACATACTCTTCCAACGTTCGTAACAGGCCCGCGCGTTTTGGGTAATCCTTGGTAAATACCTATAATTACATAGGTACAACAAGTTCCCTCTCGCGTCTGTAATATTCACCATATGTCTAGGACGTGTTAACGGGTCTTGGACTTGCCCAAATTCTCCTGAATCTCTCCATCATGTGTGGTTTTTCTACATTCCACACCGTCGGAATGCAGGTCCGGTGTGCATTTCAACCACTCCCGCCTTACTCAAACGCCACGGTCACCATCCCATTGTTCCGCAACCATCAACTTTACCACTCCTCTTTGCACCTCAAAGCCGCTCATCTCTTTGTTCAGAATCGCCACCATGACTCCAAGTACACTTCACATGTTTGTCGCGACCATCTCATCTTTCTTCCTAAGTCCATGTTCTCGTGACTATTACGAGCCGCCTTCAAGGTCAAGATCGAGAAAATCCAAGCGCATTACCTGTAACCAGTATTCACGACTTGAAATGGCACCTATAACAAGACGACGGAGTCGACTGATGAATGTGGGCGAAGTCGATCGATCATTGCAGCATGACGAAGTTTTAAACATCACCATTGACGATGAAGAAAGTAAGGAAATCATCAAAGATATATCAACTCCATTCGCAATTTCACACGCGTCCCCCTCAACACCAGAAAAATACAGCCCAGAAAATCAAACAAGCGAAATGCCACCACCGACATCACCACCCCCGCTTAAAGAACGCACACTGTCTGTCGAAATGACCGAAGCCATCGAGGCACTGCATCGTGCCGAGGAAGCAGAACAGCTCCTGACGCCCACCAGCATCAGGGACAACGAGCAGCATGTTGATTCTTCGGGAGAAACCCCAGCGCCTACACACATACCGACTACGGCACAACCACCAGCTATCCAAGCCCTCCACCGCTCCACCGACCAAGACGCAGATCCATTCTCCCCGGCCTCGGAGGAGCAGTACGAGAACGAAGATGAAGCCGAGCAGGAAAAAGACACAGACACAGACACAGACTCCAAACAAATTACCTCGGACCTAGAAATCATCATCCCTGACTCCCCCTCCCCACTCCAACATTCTCCTTCGTTGAAACCACACAGATCAACATCCTCTACCCTCTCCGCCCCCCTCTCCACCCCATCTCCATCACGCGCCCCCGCTCCCAGCCCAGCACGTCGTCCACCCACAACGATCCCGCCCACCAAACACCCCTGGTCCATGGAGTACATATGCTACGCCTGCTCGGCCACACTGTGTGTGCGCGGCGGCGGCGGGGGGATGTACGACGCTCCGGGGGGTGCGCATATGGATGCAATGAGGTGTAGGGAGTGTGGGTGTAGGGCGATGTGGAAGAAGAGGACGGAGAGGATGGTGCAGTTTGAGGCTAGATGATTGGGGGAGTGGAAGGGGCGGGGGGGGACGGCTGGGTGGTGTGGTATAATATTTTACGTTGCGTGTCTGATATCTATACAGATGTCAACGTTGCTTCATCGAACACTACGCCCTTGAATATTTCCCATCATACATGCTCGTTCCAACCCACCATCCTCCCCATCTCATCTACATGCCCTCTACCCCCACCCCCCCAGCAACCCCCGCAAACCTCTCCTTCCTCTCCGCAATCTCCGCCCGCACCCGACTCTCCCTCTCCTCCCTCCCCAACCCCCTAACAAACTGCAGCAACCTCAACGCCCCTGTCGGCGTAACCCCCTCCACCCTCCTCGCCATGCCCACGCTCTCCGGCCTCGCCACCTCCAACGCCCTCTTTTCCTCAAAACTCAGGCCGAAAATATTCTCATACTCGATGTCAGCGGGCAAGCGCAAATGTTCGTCGCGCAGCCAGCGCGCCTGCGCGGCAGCCTGGTAGGCAACGTAGGGCGCATACGTTGCGTTGATATGCACGCGATTGCGGATGCGTTCGGGGAAGTCTTTGATCTGGGGTAGGAGCGGGATGAGGTCTGTAGGGGATGTATCTGGGAGGCGGAGGATCTCGTAGGCGGAGCGTTTCGTGCTGTCGTTGCGGACGGCGTGGCCGGCTTCGTTCCACGCGGTCCAGGAGAGGGTTTTGGACTGCAGGAGCTGGGTGAGGGCCTCGATTTGCTGGCGCTCGCTTGTGTAGGCCGACCAGCGCGTGTTTGTGATGACGCCGGCGGCGTGGCCGAGGGGCGTGAGGCGTGTGTCTGCGTTGTCGGCGCGCGAGGACATGCGGTATTCGCTGCGGGAGGTGAACATGCGGTAGGGTTCTGAGACGCCTTTTGTGATGAGGTCGTCGATCATGATGCCGATGTAGCCGTCTGCTCGGGACAAGACGAGGGGGTCTTTGTGCAGACTTTTGAGTCCCGCGTTGATGCCAGCGACGATGCCTTGACCGGCTGCTTCTTCGTAGCCCGTGGTGCCGTTGATTTGGCCGGCTAGGAAGAGTCCGGATATGTTCTTCGTTTCGAGGGTGGAGCGTAGATGTCTGGGGTCGACGTAATCATATTCGACGCCGTAGCCGGGTTGCAACACCTTGACGTTCTCAAGCCCCTTGATGGTTTTGAGCATGGCGAGTTGGACGTCTGCAGGAACGGTGCAGGATATTCCGTTCGGATAGATGACATCTGTATCGAAACCTTCGGGTTCGAGCCAGACGATATGTGATGTCTTGTCCGCAAATCGTATCACTTTTGATTCCAGCGATGGGCAGTATCGCGGTCCCTTGACGGTTTCGCGAATATGTATTGACTTGTCGAGATTTTTCCGTATGATATCGTGTGAGGCTTCATTCGTCCGGGTTTCGTAGTTGAGGAGCTGGTTCTCCACTTGGACGCGGTCGTTCAGATAACTAAAAGGCATCGGTGGATCATCTCCTTCTTGTGCATCCAGCACTTTATAATCAATCGTCTTCCCATCCAACCGTGGCGGTGTCCCCGTCTTCAGTCTTCCCAGTGTGAACCCCGCATCCCTCAGACTCTTACTCAGTCCAAACGTCGCGGCCTCGCCCATGCGCCCAGACGGAAATGCCTCGAGCCCAATATGTATTTCTCCTCCCAAAAAGGTTCCCGTGGTAATCACAACATTCTCCGTCATAACCAGCTCTCCACTCTCCAACCTCACACCCGTAATCCTCCCATACCGCCCCTCCCTCCGCGCCTCGTCACTCCTATCCACAATAATATCCGCCACGCTCCCCGGCACCACACTCAACCCCTGATACCCCAAAATCTCCTCTTTCATATACTTCTTGTACAAACTCCTATCGATCTGCGCCCGTGGCCCCCAAACCGCCGGTCCCTTTTTGCGATTCAGAACCCTAAACTGTACCCCAGCTTTATCCACAATCCGACCTACAACGCCGTCTAGCGCATCAATCTCGCGCAGCATGGTACCCTTGCCGATTCCGCCAAAGGAAGGATTACACGAGCAGACACCGAGGTTGTCAAGGCTGGGTGTGATGAGGGCTGTGCGGGCGCCGGTTCGCGCAGAGGCGGCGCTGGCCTCGCATCCAGCATGACCGCCACCGATGACGACGACATCATAGGGTCTGTTTTGGCGTTAGAATATGGTGCTAAAGTATTGTAGACTTGGGAATGGAAGATCATTTACCGTGGGTCGCTCGAGACGGTGGCGAGGTGGCGGCGCGATCGTTGGAAGCGATTGAAGGACCGCACGCGGGGCGCATGACCCCAGAGCTGATGCGCTCTCTGTGGGACAGCTCTGTGCATAGTCAAGGGGCGTTTGTGGTGGTGTTACGGAAGTGGCCAAAAAAGTTCCGATAGATGCGGAGGTGCGCTCTTTCGCCGCAACGTCTTAGCGCACGGATCATGGGTTTTTGTGGCATGTAATAACTTTGCCTAGTGATGACATGGTTGGGAAAGTCATGGACATGGCTTCCTAGTCTGAACAGTCGGATTAAGTATAGACATGAGTCGAGGGCATTGCTTGCTTGGATGACTCGAAGAACTCTGGGGGCAGGAGTGGACACAGGCCGAAAAAAAAGGTATCATTCATACGCATAGCATCCATCCCAAAGACTGCAGAGCGGAGATCATTACAAAGACGACTCTTCAAAGCATAGTTTACACTCATAGCATCCGAAGACAACAACAACAAGAAGAAGAAGCTTCTTGACAAGAAAGCCCAGACAGCGCCACGGTGAAATTCGAGTACTCCATTATACCACCAAGCCATTGCCCAGCCAAACTTATCGATACCATCGGAGAAGCAGTCTCGGGAGCCCTAGCCGGACGCCTCCTGAACAAGACCCTCATCATTGACATCAGGGTCCTCAATGCGAGCACGCTGCAAGACATCGAAGTTGCGAGCCACCAAGCTCAAGTTCGAGCGCTTGTTGCCCTCGGCGTCGGTATAGTTGTCCATGCGCGCATCGGCATCAACATAGAGGAGGGATCTATACAATGCACGTTAGCCAACTGAACCATCTTCACAGTCCAGCGTCCATCGCCCTCCAACTCTTTCACACCGGGTCATCCCCACCCCAGCACAGCCATCCCCACAACCATGAAAAGAATAACTCACCCCTTGGGAACACTCATCAAGAAATCCTTCTGTCCACCCTGCACAAAACTAGCAACCCGAAACCAACTCGTCTTCTTGTCCTCGCCCTTCCCATAGCTCGTCCCAATCACATACCGCACCAGCGTACGATCCCCACTAATCGTGACCTCCTCAGGCACAACCCCCAGACGGCCTACAATTGTCATGCGCGCAATTTGCTGGCGAGCCGTGCTGCTAAAGGCGCGGGTCGCACCTGGGGCGCGGAAGGCGGTGCGGAGAGTCGAAGTGAACATTGTGATGGTTGGTGGGTGAGTGGGTTCTCTGTCGAAGAAATTTTTCAAAAGTTGAGGGATTTGGTGTCGATGTTTCTTTTTTTGCTTCCGCGGAGAGGAATTGGTGAGGTGGATGGGGTAGAGGAGCTGGGATGGGAGGGTGGAGTGGGGGTTGTTTTGATGGCGGAGGCCTTGCTGCGAGTGTGAGTGTTGGACGGCTCGCGTCGCGGTCGTGCGACTAAGAGTAACTGTATTGGGAATGGGCGGTAAGGGACGGGCTCACGTGTGCCAAGGCCTTTGCGTGGGGCATCAGGTCGCCTTACATCGTAGTCTCGTAGGCCCTCATGAGCCAGCGCACTTACTGTCGTTGACGTGGAAACTTGACTATTAGGAGTCGTCTAATTCCGGGTATATATTAATGCAAAAGTCAAATCTATCCTTGCAACTAGACATACACAGCGCGAGGTCTCTCATCCCCCTATCTCTTCACCTTCTTAGCATCCCTCTCATCCTCATCACTATCGTACTCCTTGTAAATCCCCTTTGGCTGCGTCTTATCCCATGCACCCGTAAAGACATTCTTCTCCCCAGCCTTGGGCGCATACTTAAGCAGGGCCTCTCTCGGATCCTCGTCTCGCATGTCACTACCCTCAATTTGCTCCATCACGTACTTCTGATCAGGCGTAGACTTTGCAAATGGCGTGACAGCAGGTACATGTGGACGTCGCGGGTCACGACTCTTGCCAGAAGCTGTGAGCCCGACAGTTGGGTGGCGTGCAGCGAAGGAGCCAGCGGGTGCTTTTCCAGATGGGTTCTGGGCTTCGCCTGCCATGCCTAGGGGATCCATGTCTACGGTCAAGGAAGGGTCATCATCTATGTGACGCTTCTTTGGTGCTTTGCTGAGGATGGTCAGGGCGCCGTTGGTGGAGAGCTTGGGGTTGAAGAGAATGGTAGTTTGGCCATTGGCGGAGCCGGTGAGGATCTGGTTGAGTTTGGGGTGCCAATTTACTGTGATGAGTGGCGAGCCAGGTGTCACGGGTGTGACAATCTCTGGACGAAGTGTGGCGGGGTTGAGAATATGAAGATGACCTGTTTCAGAGCCTGTGACGATGCTGGAACCGTTTGGTGCAAACTGTATGTTTGAAGTTGGGTATTGCGATGATGTTGATGTGTGCGATGTCATGTTGAGCGGCGTCTTGAACTTCCTGGTATCCCATAGTTTTATTGTGTCGTCTCCGCCTCTTGTAATCACCAGTCTGCCGTCGGCACTGATGTCAATTCCGCTCGTCCAAGTATCTTTCGCATGCGCATCTCGAATCTCCGCAGTAGGACGATGGAATGGGCCTTCACCACTCCACATGACCAAGCTACCATCTAAAGCCGCAGCAACGATGATAGTGCCATTCCCATCCGGAGAAGGCCCCCATGCAATAGCCGTCATTCTTGTCATACCCGCGCTGCCAGCAGCTCGTGACTTGTGTACGATGACCTCCTCCTGTTTAAACCTCTTCTTGGTGTCCCATATCCGCACTGTGCTGTCTGTTCCTGCCGTGACGAAGCGCTCTCGATCTGTAGGATGCCATGCGGCACTCGTAACCTCTGATGTATGTCCCTTCGTGTTATGCTTATCCCTCAAGTACATGTCACCCTTTTGAAACTCTGCAGTGAGTTCCCCATCTCTACTGAATAACCTCGCTTGTGGTGTCGCTGTGATGCACAAGAATTGGCCTCCTGAGTTTGAGGGGAACATGACTTGGTGTATTGAATGCGACTCGGCGGTCTGCGAAGGTTTCGTCGCAAACGGGTCTACTGTCTTGAACGCGCGAATAGTCGATGGCGTAAGCGCAGACAGATCGTGCAGCTTGAGTGTGCAGTCGTTGCTCCCCGTCACCAGTCGCGTCCCCGAGGGGTCCAGTGCAATGGTTGTAACAGCTCGGTCATGCGTCTTGATGATCAATTCATGAGACACGGGGTATTCGTCCTCCTCATCACTCATGTCGCTATCGTCGTCATCATCCGAATCCTTGTCGCCCCCGTCCGATCCGGCATCTTTCCTCTTCGCACTTTTGCTCTCATCCTCGACTGGTCTGCGCGCGCGCTCGATTTGCGCCTCGACGTTTATTGAACCATCTTGTTTCCCAAAATGGTTGGGCATGTAATTCGCAAGCGCGCCATCGTCATCTGCTGAGAAATCCATTGGCGGATTGTCTGCAAAAGATGCGTAGGTGTCTATTGTAGGTGTTGTGGAAATAATGTGCATGCGCGTGGTGAGAAAGCTGGACGGGATATGACATAAAGCGGCCGCCTTGACGCTAATGCTAACCTAGCCGTAATTGTGGGCCGCTCTAACCATATCTAGAGTTACATTGGATCCCTCTTTGGACGACTCATGCCACCCTGATGTAGTAAATTTCCTAAACACACTGAACTGTCTTATGAGGGGCCTGGTTATATCTGGAAAAGATGGATAATCATTAGAGAAACCCCAATACCGCATACCTCATTGCTCGAAAGGAAGAATAATATTTTGCTGGTGTAGATGCAGTGTAAAGTGTACAGTAAGCCTTCTCAAATTAAGCTAACCACCTTCACCCCATCATCATCAAAAGTATCAGCAGAACAACGACCCCCAGGTGTAATAACAAAACACATAAAGTTATATACAAATACTGCAAACCAGCCGGTCCGCAATACCACACCAGACCTGCTATAACTGAAAGCCCAGCACATCCCCGAATCTCCTCACATATCCGTCTGATCCGCCCCCCTTCCCCCACGATCCCCCCTCTTCCTTCCAAGAAAATAAAAAGAAAATGGCAAGAACTCTCATCCTCTTCGGCGCCGGCCCAGGCATCGGCAACAACGTAGCCTTGGCCTTTGCCGCCTCAGGCATCACCCACATCATCCTCCTCTCGCGCAATACACAGCGCCTCGAAACCAGCGACGCACCCTTGCTCCGCACCTCGTACCCCTCGCTCAAAATCTCCACTCTGCACTGCGATCTCGCCGACCTCGCCGCGCTCCCCTCGGTCCTGGAATCTCTCTCCCGCTTGACGTCCGCCGCAGACGTCGAAGTCGTCTTCTTCAACGCCGCACGCATCAAGCCGACGCAAGACGTGTTTGGTGTCTCGGTCGAGGAGATGGAGGAGGATTTCAAGACTACGAATTTGGCGCTGTTTTTGGTTGCGAGGCATTATCTTCCTGTTTTGACGGATAATGCTGTTGCTGCTGCGGCCGCGAAGGAGAAGGGTGAAGGGTCAGAGCGGAGACCGGCGCTGCTGGTTACCAATTCTGCGTTGCCGTGGGATCCGGTGCCGCAGCTTCTGTCGCTGTCGTTGGTGAAAGCCGCACAGAAGAATATGGTGGAGAGTTTTGCGCGGGCGTGGGAGGGCAAGGGTGTGCACATTGGGCTGGTGTTTGTTGAAGGTACTGGTGAGTACTTTTTTTCTTTTGTTCCCCATTTCCTACGCTTTTATTGATAGGGGGAGAGAGATTGTGCGTGGAGGGGATTTGTGGGGAAGGGTCTGGAAGTTCTGGGTTTGGAGAGATTGGCTGACGTGAGGATGTAGTTGCGCCGGAGAACAAGGTGTTGAACCCCAAGACTATTGCGGAGAGAACTGTGGCGTTTTGGAAGGAAGGTAAAGGACTGGGAATCAATATCAAAGAGGAATAAAACGGGAAAGAAATCTTGAAAGTCAAGAGGAGTTGAAAATAAATATCTGAGACTGAAGAGCTAACGAGAAAATCCATGAATCTATGAATCGATGAATTGTTCTTCTTGTTGAGATTTACTTTTTACTGATAACCTTCTTGATGTGCGCTACTCTATACATTCAACGTAGTTTAACACGCAAACAACCCAAAAGGAAAGAAGGGCAAACCTACTTCAAACTTTGACCTTATTCACACCATAACCTCAGAATACAAAAATGTTTCCAAAAGAATGCCCCAAGCAGGCTCCATCATCGCAGCGAAGGAAAGTACTGAGACCACTGCACCATCTGATATACATCTTCCGGAACCGATCGCAAACCCCAAAACACCTCTACCAACATGTACAGTCTGGACAGGAAATACAAACCTAGGCTGAGCCAATAAAACACCCGAACTACTTGAGGATACTTCATTTTGAAGACGTAATTAGTCGGCGTGGAGAAGAAAATCGGCGTCAGTGTACAAACGATGCTGCAAAGCCTCCACAACCCTTGCTCTGCGTCGGAAGAGAAGTAGAACCTCCAGCCGAGGATGTGCAAACCGGCAAAAAGAACAAAACTGGATACAAATATGGCAAGGTGCATCCAATCATCGGGTACGACTGTGGGGGAGGAATTTTACTCGTTCAAGCACACCCACGTCATACAGTGGAGATGCTAGAAGTACTTTAGTCCAAAGCACTATCCGATGTACCAATGTAGAATCACAGGCCCTTGCCCCCTACTCATCCTTGGTGGACGCCATTTGTAGGAGGAGGGGGCGGCTTAACGTTGTTGCCTTGCGCGGGAGAGAGGCAGAAAGAAGCAAACACCAACGCAAGGCAAACCACCAACCACCAACAGACGCAGGGCTAGTGCAACCCAAACCAGTCAGCCCCCACCCACGTGCACAAAAAGACATACCCCTTTTCCTAATATATGACACCAGGCACTCAGTGAATTCAAATAATCTTTGTTTCATCCTACGTAATTCGCCATTCCATGCACATCAACTTGCACCAAACCCCTCCTCCTACCACGCTGTTCCCAGGCTTTTTTTTACTCCGCTGAAAGCAAACTCCCAATCTCCCCCATGCCCGCGTCCGACATGAAACGCTTCATCACGCCCGACCAAATTACCCACATAAGCGCAGAAAAGGAGCAACAACACGAGAACATAATGGACTGCTACCAAAGCCCCTCCCTTTGCAGTGCCGCCAGAGAATAAAATGAACTGGATTGGGAAGATGAAGAAGAAGAAGAAGAAGAAGAAGAAGAAGAAGAAGAAGAGAAAAAGAAGAGAAAAACTCCAGTAGATTCCGGAACGAGAAAATGTCTCCAAACCACCCAGGTGAGCTTCTCAAACTGTTGCCATTGCTAGCCGCTCAATGCTCAGACAGACCAGATGTATGGGTGTGTGAAAGGAATGGGCAAGGGAAGCTACAAGTTGAGGGTTGCAGCGTGAGAAGGTGTAAGTTGAAACAGGGTGTTGTACAAATGTGGTTGCAGATGGTAAAGAGGAATGGGAGGCGATTGTGTACCAACTTTGGGAGCCGTGGACGTAATTCGGGGTGTGGGTTGGGTACGGTGTACGGGGAACTGGGAAGACGAGGTGTTGAGGAGCATGGCCAAATGGATTGATACAGCCAAGGCATATGAATAACGTCGAGGTAGACACCCACAAAGAGAGGTCGAAAACAAGGTAGTCCCGCCGGATATGTGTGATCAAGGCCTCTTTGAATGAGCCGTCCCATTGGCGCCTGCACTCCGGAAAATAGCAGATTCTGGAGCGCGTAAAAGTTATACCGCAAGTATCCAGTCGTTTCTATAAAGTAGATCATCAAAGTTGATCATCGTCGGCTTGAGAGCAAACGTGAGAGAAGTCCTATATCTCCACTGTTTTGAGCTCCTCGCTCTCGGCCACGGCGTTCTTCAAGGAAGATGGCGACTTGACCTTCTCTTTTGTGTCCTCCTTTGCGGTTTCCTTGACATTCTCCTTGGCGTTCTCCTTATCGCTACTTAGGCTGGCTCTCGCTGGTGCCAGGTCGTCGCTGGGCCGTGGGGTCTCGACAGGAATGAGCTTTTCAGCCGGGACGCTGGCCTTTGAATCAAGGTCCGTGTGTACGCGGATCGGCTGCGGTGTCTCTTCTGCCACTCGGGCTAGTGGACTCGAGAGCTTGCCTCGGGGGCTGATGCCCTTGGATTTGGTTGACAATCGGTGAGGACTACGGCCGCGATCTTCGGGAGTGATGACGGGGCTGTGGTATGGACTGCTGGCTGTGCTGCTAGGAACCACCATTCCAGGCGCATTGGGGTTGACGCGCAAGCCGCTGTTGGGACGTCTCCTCGCCGGAGGTCTGCGGCCGTGCTTCTGATCGCATCGCCAGCGAAGGATCTCGAGGTAAGGGGGCTCGACATTCTGACGCTTGAAAGCCAGAAGCTTGAGCTCACCAGTGTCCTCGTCCATGTGCACGTTGTTCGAGTTGAAGTCATCTGCAATCATGGCAAGCATGGCAGCCCAGGATCGCGCGACAACGTATTTGCAGTCGTAGTCGCGACCGAAAATGATGATTTGTCCCCATGTGCCCGTGGGGCCGGGCGCGAGATCGGTAGCGAGATAGTTGCCTCCCCAATCGCGTGCCAAAGGAATCCAAGCTGGGTGGGCGTAGGCCTTCTGAACGGCACCTGGCGGTTGCGAGTCTTGGCGGGCTAGCAGGTCCTGTCGCCAGAGAGGGTTGCCTGATGTCTGAGGCTGTGCGATCGGAGGCGCCGTGGACGAGCCAGCAAAGGCCTTGACTGGAATCTGCGGGGACGAATAGTCGACCTTGGTGGTGAGGTATTCCTCGGCAACCTTGCGCCAGTTCCTCCACTCCATGACGATTTCCTCGCAGTCGAGCAACATCATGCCAAAGAGGAGACCGGTCGGGAGACCGCCGCGCTCCTGGCCATCGTGAATTTGCAACGACTCGCGTACATCCATGGGCAGAGTGGCATCGAGCTCGTGCTCCAGCTCATTCACATCGTTTGCCGTGCAGCCCTCGCAGACATTGTCAAAGAGCTCCTCGTAATGATCCTCGACCCAGCGGTCAATGCGCCTCCACGAGTGAGAGACGGGCGGCGGCGGAGGCAGCCCCTCGTTGAAGTCCTGCATGGGGATCTGGCCATTGGCGCCCTTGTCGAACGTGTCGGAGTCGGTCGTGTTCTGGCGACTGAGCGAGCCGCGCATCCCGGGCGAGTAGGGCGAGCTCGGGGACAAGGGGCCTTTGGGCGAGCCGATGAAGCCATTGCTGGTCGCCAGGTCGTCGTGCTGGTAGGGCGAGGCGAGGTCCATGCGAGACTCGGCGCCGCTCGTCGCTATAGAAGTGAGGGCCGAATGGCGGCTCTGTGGGATGGGGATGTGGCGGCCGGTGCGGTAGGGGGAGTATT